TGTAGAATGGGGTGGGGGGTGGTATTTTTCAAGAAATCAGAAGAAGTGAGCTACATATAGAAATTACAGATGCTATGGTTTAACACATAAATTGCTATGGTTTAAATGGTTGTGTCCTCCAAATTTTGGGAGGACACAACCATTTAAACCATAGTAGTATTCAACCTCAGAAGAATTACTAATGGGAGACAATTTATCCCTAATATGATGGTATTAGGAGGTGGGGCCTTTGAGAGGTGATTATATCATAAGAGAAGAGCCTTCATGAACAGGATTAGTGCCCTTATAAAAGAGACCCCAGAGAGCTAGCTAGCCACTTTTGCCAAGTGGAATTATAATGGAAAGGTGTTTATCTATGAAGGAAGCAGGCCCTCCCCAGGTACCAAATCAGTTGGTGCCTTGATCTTGGACTTCTCAGCCTCCAGAACTGTGAGAAATAAATTTTTGTTGTTTATTACTACACAGTCTAAGATATTTTGTTATAGCAGCCCAAATGGACTAAGACAAATACTAATATTTTTATAAGCCATCTGATAACCAACATCCTATTATGATTTGCTTAGGGATATTTAGACAGCAGAAGGAAGAAAGGATATCTGAACTATAAAATCAAGGTTGATGTCTTATGGCTTAGTTTTAATTTTATGTTACAGGGATATTTCTTCTGACCCTCAGATTCCAGAAAATACACTATTACCCTTTGTGAGATGACTATTAAAGATTAAAGTGAGATATTTTTGTTTTATAAATTTATGCCTTCTAAATATAATTTTAGATATGATATCAGGCAAAAGAATAAACTCCACCAAATAACATAAAATCCTGAAAATTTTTTGTACCTCCTATATGATATGGTCTGATTAAAATTCACATATTTTTCCCCTAAGAACTCAGGAGAAACACAGAGGAGAAAAATCCAATGCATTAATATTCTATGAATACAGGGATGGGTAAATCTAGCAATTTCTTTTCAACTATATGCTAGGGTTGGAATAATATCAAGTAGAAAAGATAATTCTGGTTTATACTTATAACCCATGAAAATGCTTGGCAAACCACATTTTCCAATTTTCAAAAAATATGTTTAGAAATGAATTCAAAAAGGCATCAGTAGAAAAATAGAGGAGACACTCTTACCTTGTGACAAATAGGAGATAAACAACAATTCTAAAATATCATAGCACCACATTACCAAGATCTCTTTCATAACTTTTACTAATATGCCCTCTGAATGTATCTTTATAAAATTTCATGGAAGCTTTAGATCTGAGGATCAGATGTAATATCATTCCCAAAATAACATAGGAGCTGGCCAAGTCTGCTTAAATTTTGTTTTGTTTTCCAAACAGGCTGACTTGGTTTTTTTTTATTGTTTCTCTTATTGGAAAACAAAACAAAACTGTTTTTTGGAGCTGTGGTACTAAAATTAACCATATACCAGAAACAATAGGATGTTATACTTCCTGTTCCAATTTTTGGAATGTGGCTGTGAAATGCATTATTTTTGATTTTTAGTTCATCAAACTAATTAAAGTTTACTTTAGTGCACATTTTATTGCATTTCTAATTAATTGCTAGAATACTAGGCAGAACAGTTTTTACCATACTAACTTTGGTCATCAATTAGAACTAAAGAGAAAAACAAACACGCAAACAAACCTTGAACTTCCTGAATGATTACAGAAAATGTTATCGGAGTAATAAATGTTGGGTCAGGCTTGATTAAGCCAAACAAATTCATGAATTGGGGAATTATCTCAATAATTCAAACTGGCCTTCCTTTAAGTTTATAAATGAAACTTGGGGTTGGAATTTCTCAAGTCAGAGTTGCACTCTGAACTGTACTGCCTTAAGTCATCAGATTGAGTTCCCATCATCTTGTGCTTTGTGGACTTTACAGAAAGGGGACCCCGAAGGGCACACATTCTTATTTAGTGTTTCAGACTCCATGATGATGGTCTTATCCATATAACAAGCTTAATGGTAGATGCAAGAAAAGGCACCTTAAAATGCATGCCAGTGCTTTGGATTGCTAAAATGGCTGGATTTGCTATATTGAAAAAGGTTCTTCCCATCTCCATATGGGGAAAAGACAGAAGATGACAAAAAATAAATTCAAATAAAATCAAATTTAAAAAAAAGAACATCAGGGACCTTACAAAGGGAAAAGTTCCTCAGGAACTATCTGGGATGAAAGCTTCCCGACTAAAGGATCTCGTGCCTCTGACCGAAACAATGGCATTCCACATGCTCAAGACCCAACCATACTAATGGTTGGTCTTCACTCAGCTAATAGAGATCTTGAGCAAATTGCATCAAGTCTATTAGGCCAAGAACTCTGTTCTTCTCAAATTACAGTTCACTTCTCTCCCTGCTCCTGCCCCCCCACCACAGTTCACAGTGCTATGCCAAAAATTAACTGATACCCTTGGATGAACATGATATAATAAGCTAACATTTTTTCAAGCAATTGCTAAGACCATCAATTTTTTTAGGAGCATCAGTTTGACAAGAAAACTTTGGGAAAAGTTAAGTATATAAAATATAATATATTGTGTGAATTTGAAAAGTTCAACCATGAGACTGGGATGATGATTTCCATCTATAGATGTGTCACGTTAGCAAACATCCAACACCCTCTGGGGTGCACCTGAACTCTGACCATAAGGCAGATATTGATGGATAAATTGAGAAGTATTGGAAAAAAGACACCTAAAATCCCTCTAGCCCTACTTCTATAGATAATTATATACTTTTGCCTCTAATTCTTATAGCAGATTGGACATTTGAGCTACTGGAAACCTATATTTGCACATCCTTATTTAGGAAAAAATAAGTCCTGGTAATGCCTTATCTATCTGACCAATTTCAGATGCTCTTATTTGAGATTTCTCACGTATATACTAAGATATGAGAAAAGCTAAATTGCTTTCAACAATAACTTAGGATATTCAGATATATTATACATTATTTTTCAGTAGTTTTGTTTTAAAATAATTTTAAATTTACAGAGAACTGCAAAAACTGAACAGAGTTCCTACCATACTCTTTATCCAGTTTCCCCTAATGTTAACATTTTCACAGGCATGATACATTTACCAACCTAAGGAATTCACACCGGTATAATACTAGTAATTAAACTACAGTCTTAATTCAGATTTCCCAAGTTATTTTACTAATGACTTTCTTCTATTCCTGGATTTAACAGCATTCAGTGGCTATACATGTTTACTTTCCCCTTTTTCTCTTCAAGTAGTACTATAGGCATATGTTACTATTTTTAAGAGCTTTGATCTTTCAAGATTATCAAAGACTATTAATAGCTCCATAGTCTTTTTAAAAACTGTGTTAAACACTTGCATTAAACCTGCTGTCTGCTTTAAATCAATAAATCATTTACTGTGTAAAATTTTAAACTTGAGTATAACAGGAAGGTGGGTTAAAAAACTACAACCATTTTAAGGCAGCATACAATCTCTTTCCTTCTAGCAAAATCTTTTTAACCTGGCAAACGATTTTCTGATATGCTAGATTTGATTTATTACTGAAAAGCTCTGAATAATTTTTGTTAAGAATTTTCCACATTATAGCTCAATCTAGCACTCTCTTCTGGCACAGATAAATTCTGAGGTGCTTGGAGGCAAGGACCTGTTCCTATTCATTTTTGTATCCTGAACATTGCCTTAAACTTGATAAATATTTGTTGCATTAATGAACATATGAAATTTCCTAGAATCTTCAAGCTGGATTGAATTTGAAAACTTGACACTTTCAGGTTAATTAGACTCCAGAGCCTTCACCTCTGACTGCCTTTGGGATGTTTTGGTGTAGATAGTGTCAAAGAGGTTGATAGTTGATATGTTATAGACAGCTTCATGAAAATGTCATGAACCCTTGTATAATACTGTCAGAAACTTGCCAAGTTTTAAATGTCTAATGTTTCTTTTCTGAGAGAACTAACAAGAGCCCTTATCTTCTCATAAATGTGTAATCAACATATTATAGAGAAAAGTGTCCATAGCACAATGACATCAAATGAAGTCATATCCTGCTTGGGTGTAAGCATTTTCCTAGTAATAAAGGTATCACTCAAAAAAGCAATCATTCTAGGGCTCTAAATACTGACATGTGAAGGTAACTAAGGTAGAACTGTGCCCCATGACTACCCTACTGATCTCAACATGCTACTATCTTGCTACAATTCAAATTTAAATCTTCACAACCTGGGTTTTTGTTTTATTTTGTTTGTTATCTTCCTGTCTGAGTTCTGAGACCCTTACTGATAGACTAGTCCAGACATGTTTGTATGCCCTCTTGCCATTATATGCAATTAGTTGCTTATGTATATTATGTACTGTTATTAATAATCTACATTACAAAAATTTAGGAATGCCTTTTTATAACTGTAAACAAGTTCTTGCCAAGCCAGAAAATTAATGTTTTGTTTTGTTCTGTTTTTAAATCTAAGGGGCTTAAAAATCTGAATAGGTTATCAAGGCTAATTCTTAAGTAAATCTTGTGGGCATTAGTTTCTTGTAAGTCTATTTTATCCAGACAGAATTTTAACTGTATCATAGCATGATCTGGGCCTCTGCTGTAGTCTTAATGTGTTCCCCAAAATGTGTTTGAAACTTAATCCCCAGTGCAACAGTGTTGGGAGGTGGGACATTTTAGTAGGTGTTTAGGTCATGAGGACTCTGGCCTCCTGAATTGATTAATGCCTCTATAAAAAGGGCTTGCTGGAGTAAGTTGTCTCTCTTCTGCTTTTCTGCTGTGTAAAAACACAACAAGAAAGCCCACACACGGTACCAGAACCTTGATCTTGGACTTCCCAACCTCTAGAACTGTGAGAAAATACATTTTTCATTTTCATAAATCACTCAGTCTTAAATATTCTATTAGAGTGCCACAAAAGGACTAAAACAGCCTAATATGTCCTACATTTCCCAGAATACTGAGAGGAGAGCGGTGGGAAAGGGACCATGAATAAATATTTGCTGCTTCAAAGATTGGACTGTTGACCATGATCCCACAGGTCTGGGCTGTGCAAATAGCCATTGCCATTATCTCTACCCTGTTCCGTGTTTCCAGAGAGATTCTACCTGGTATTATTCAGTAAAAGGTAAGTGAGCCAGTTTACCCACAAAAGGATCTTAATAAGCATTGTTGATTTGATTGGGTTTATGTGATAGGATTTGAAGGGGAATTGGGCATAGTTTAGAGCAAGGATGAACAACATTTTCTGTAAAGGGCTAGATAGAATATACTTTTAGGATAGCAGGTCTCTCTCTAAACTACTCAACTCTACCTTTGTAGCTTGAAAGCAGATATAGAAGCTACATAAACAACTAGGTGTGACTATGTTCTGATAAAACCTTATTTATAAAAATAGATGTGGGGGGGCTACATTTGGCTCTTGGGCCATAGTTTGCCAACTTGGTTTAAAGTCACAAATTGTCTGGGTCTTTCCTAAGGCAAGCCCACATTTGGAATAAAAATTATACAGATTTAGACACCTTAAAATTACACTCATGCTAATCCGACCTTGCTGCATTGCTTTGCACTAACTGCCTTCAGGATCTTTTGTCTCAGAATGAGACACAGGTCAGATATTTATAGATGCTTTCCTCACATATGATGAGCATATTTCACATGAGGGAGGGGTTTATTTTATTTCAGGACAAAAATGATTAACTAAAATAATCATTTTATTAATTCATTCAGAAACAATGTGAAAAGTCAAATCTCAATTTAGCAAGAAATGTTTGAGAAATGGGTTTCTACCTTACAAAATTTTTGGTGTATATGGGGTTAATCAGATACCCATCTATGTCTCATTTCTCATCTTACTGGTAGAAAATGTTTCTCACCTGTCTTAGTGAAATGCACTTTAGTTTGCCTCAGGAAGCACTGTCAGAGAACCTGTTGCCCTATTTGCTTACTTGCATTTCGTTCCTTTCTTGCTTCGACATTTATTACACATCTATTTGGTGAGGAGGAAGAGGAGGAACAGACTAAGGTGCATATGTAAATCGGCCACCTTTAAGTGCAATAATTAAAAATGGTACCTAAATGTATTTAATATAGTCATATAATCAGTTCTTTGTTTTCAGGTGGGTTGGGTATGATTCATCACAAACGTTCCCATGCCATTCAGGCAGCTGCTATTAGTAGGCAATTACTTGATGGTTTCTATTAATCAGTCTGGTCAGGTTTAACTTGCTCTTGTGCTCTGTCTCATAACAGTCAGCATTTGCTATCAATTTCTAAAATGTCTTTTTTTCCTCTGGCAGCAATTGAAATTAATTTGGTTCTATTCCTGCTGGTTTACCCTTGTGGAACATTGTTTCTTCTTAGTTCTTGACATATTGGTTGCTTGATGCATAACTTGTTCTTCCTTTAGCAGGGCAGCTAACCTAAGCCCTGATGAAGAAAGTGGCCCAGCAGATAACCCAGAAGGTCACAGCAGCAGACCCAGAACCCAAGCTCAGGTCAACTGGTCCTTTACCCTCTTTCCCCTACTCCAACTACCTACTTAGAATCTGTTTAGAATGAGACTTTCAAAGAGGCTTTTGTGCAAACTTCAACTTATATTAAGAGGTTATACACTGTTGTAAGAAAAGGAGAGACTCTGGGTTTAGATAGACTCAGTTTCACATTTTGATTCTACCCCTTGTGTGACATGGGACACGTCGTTTAATCTCTCTGTACCTCACTGACTTCATTTGTAATGTAAGAAACTCACTACAACTTCATATATATGAATAATCGTGGGTGTTAAGAGACTATATACACATACACATACATGCATGTACACAACCTATCATGTGCTTGAGACATTGTAAGTTAGTAGGTGCTTCATAAATTTGAAGGGAATGTCCTTCCTGCAGCCTCAACCCAAAATGAAGGGCTGTGATTTTTTTGGAGGGTTGTCTTGGTAAAGCTCTCTTGACTCACATAACCTGGCTGAGTGAGGGGAAAGCCTTCTCAGGGCCCTGTGGTCCTGTCACCAGCAATGATTTATGGCTTATGACAGCCAAGTGCTCACTTTTGGAACCACTGCTTGTTGAGGCTAGGGTGGGTTTTTGAGGCTTTTGTCTAATGGGCTTTGTTTAAGTGCTAATAAACACAAAAACTTCTTCTCTATAAACATGTTCTATGTGGACCCCTGAGGCAACAGTGCTGATGAGTTTATTTCTTTAATGAAAAATAAGATGAACTGAAAGCACCCAATTAGAGAGGCTAAGTCAGATCAGTAGAAGCTTACAATAGAAGGGGCTTTTAGGGGCTTGAGCAGGAGAAACCATAATGAGAAAAACACTGAATTTGCTTTTATTCTTAGCAGCAGCCTCTTTGTTTGTTCTCCCTCTAGGCTCAGAGCTGTGCTGCTGGGACTGAACTCATTTCCCAACAATGTATTTTTGTTTCTTACTTGCAATGTTATGTGAATGGACTTTGAAATGCAGGCGTCTTAGTCCCTGTGCATGCAAAGGGTTTGACAACACAATGAGTAGCAGTGGACAATTTCCAACTCTCACCTGGATGCCTGTTCCTATTGTAAAAGATACCCCAAACCCTGGCTCTTCTGATCCAGGAGCCACTTCTTGAAATGTTAACAAAGAGGATGAGACTAGGGAAGTGACTCTTTTTTAGGTATTGCTCTTGCCCATGGGTTATGGCTCAAACACTGTCATGTGTGCAATTTTTAAATATTATCAATAATTTGTGGGTGATGGCGTTGCAGGCTGCTGATGGAGCAAAACGAAATAAAACTTTTAAGCATAATGAGTCTCCTACATGCAGAGCTTCCCTGATGTGCAGATATATTATAAAGTTTCAGAACCCAGGCTGTTCCAGTTTAATGCCATTAGAATTAGGACTGTATCTCTTCACTGACCTAGCCAGACCCAAGATACTGCAGCAGAGTTCTGATTACACACATCCTTTCCTCATCTTCTTCTAATTTTCTTCCCCTTCTGGTGCCCCTATAATTGGCATATCCCATTATGGTATGTATCTGTTCCATCAATTCATCTTCCTTTCCTAGTATGCTATTCAGTACAGATATATTTACAGAACACTAACACCAGCCATATTCTGTATCATACATGAGGATTCAATGGTGAGCAAAACAAACATAGACCCTTACAACCATAACCAAAAATTTAGATGAATAAGTTGCTGTAAACTGTAATCAATGCCACAGATGAGAAGTACAGGCTACAACATGAACTTGTAGCTGGAGAGCTGATGAAGGCTGAGTCAGAGAGGCTTTCATGAGGAAGTATCTGTTGGACCAAGTTGTGAAGGATGAATAAGCAAAAGGAAGAAGAAGGTCATTCTGGGCTACAGAAATAACATATGCAAAAGTCCAGAACCCAAAGGAATTTGGCATTTTGGTGGAACTCAAAGAAAGAGAGTGTGGCCAGAGAACCAGAGAAGAATGAGAGATGACACTGGCAAGGGTCAGGGCAGTGGCCACATCAAGTAGGACCAAAGACGTTGGGATTTTATCTTCAAACCAATGAGATACCATTGAAAAGTAAAATAGAATAGAGATATGATTAGTTTTTCTTTAATAAAAGACTAATGTAACTCTAGCATGTAGAATTGATGAAAGAGGGAGTGATTCTTGATGCATGAGTTGGAACATAATTCTCCTTCTCTTGAATGTGAGATGGGCTCAGTGACTCATTCCCAATGAATAGCATATGATGGAAGTGACAATGTGTACCTTCTAAGACTGGGTTAAAACAGACAATGTGACCTCTACCACACTCTTTAATCACTTTCTCTACAAGAATCCAGCCCCCCTGTCATGAGAAATGAAGACCTTTTGGCAAAAAAACTGGAAATTCCTGTTAACAGCCATGGGAGGGATCCAACTATGGAGCAAATCCTTCAACCACAGTCAGGCCTTCAGATGATGGTAGCCCCTACCAGCATCTTGACAGACTCCAAGTCAGAACAAGCCAGCTTAATGGCTCCTGGTCTCCTGACTCTCAGAAATTGTGTGAGATAATAAATATTCATTATTTTAAGCATCTAAATGTTGGGGTGATTTGTTATGCAGCAATAGCTAATATAGGAGGTAGAAACAGAAATATTAGTAGAAGGTTTCTACAATAGCCCAAGTAAAGGATGATGTCTTGACTTAATGTGGTTGCTACTCAAGTACAACTTCACTTTCTCTTCCCAGAGACATACACATCATGGAGATTAGAGTATGACCACTGGGAATCAGGAGATGTGTGTTTGAATCCTGGCTTCGCCACTTAGATATGGATGACCTTTCAATGTTTCTCTATGCCAAGGATTTTTTATTTACATCATAGTGCTAATACGATTACTTACCTTTTAGATTATATGAGGAGATGCATGTAAAGTCCATAGTAGAGGTGTTGGGATATAGTAACTGCCAGTTTTGATTATTATAATTTAGTATCTATAGGGATGGTAATTTCTCTTTCCTGATCTTGTTCTTTGCTACAAGAATAATCTCCATTAAACACCATTACATTACTCTCTTTATCAAATTACATTCATAGATTCCCATTGCTTTCAAACTAAATTTTCAGTTCTTTGGCCATGGGTTACAGGCTCTCTATCTTGAAGAGCCATCTTGCTACCTGTGTGAACATCTGCTCCATGCCAATTCATCTTCTCCTCAATCCCTTTTTCGTGACTTGTGATGTTTGGTTGAGTCAATTTCTTTTATTCTCAGCTTTCTCATGAGTATATTGTTCATAAATAATAACCACCTATCCCTTCTCACTGTACAGGGAAAGCATAATAAAGGTTTAGTGACTGCCGTGTGACAAACTCGTTCTACTTACAAGAAACCTGAGCCATGCCTATTGCACTTCCTGCATACACATTCTTACAATCAAACAGCCACCAAAGAGAATCTCTCTGGAGGTTTTGCCAGCTGTAAGGAGGCACTTTGGGCCTCAAGCCTGGGCTGGTTTCAACTGACTTTCAGGATGTTAAGCCCATCCTCTTGCTTCCCAGCAGACGTTTGAGATGTGATTAATCACTGCCAATTCATGCTCAGTCATGTTTTATTGCCTAATGAACTTTAGGTAGTCTCTTGCCATTCAATAGAACAACCCAAAGCATGGCTGCCCTACACTTGGACACAAAGAGGGTAATGAGGAAGATTCCTGCACAGACCCAGAGAATAGCGCCTCTGCTGACAGCCACAGAGATGACCTCAAACCTCCAAACAGGTCTGGTCCTCACTAGCCAAAGTAGACTCAGAAATGGGGATGTTTGGCCCACATTGAATGCGTCCTAGATCTGGCATTTTAAATAATGCGTATTTTCGCTGACTTCCCATTTGTATAACCCTCCTAGATTGGCTCAGATATGGCAAGAGTGCATAATTTTGCACTCCCTGTGCTTCCAAATTGAGGTTATTACTCCTGGTAAAATGCCCTTCAGAAGCCCAAAGCAATGGCTGAAAAGTTATTTATGGGTCTCTTTACCCCCTCTTCATGGCTCTTTCAAAATTGAGAAAAGCTGCCCAACAGAGAAGCTCTTTAATTAGCCATGGAACCAAACCAAAGTGTTGCAAATGTTTAATTTTGTTTGAGTTAGCACCAACACACAATTATTTTAGTTAATCTGAAGTATGGCAGTGATTTTGCAATATGGTGTATAATGAGGACTTTGTAGAAATCTTTGTAACTTTTTAAATGTTGTTTCCAATGCTACACCCTAAGTTTCTCAGCATGATTTTGCATATAAAACATAATTTTCAATAGCAAGAGAGCAATTACATAATTTTACTGCTCTGTTGCATTATTTATAGCCTTCTTATATCTGCCCAAATATGTGTCACAAGTTCCTTTTAGTAAATATAATACTTTAGATATAGTTGATATTTCATGGCCTCTGAACAAAAATCTTGTTATTTATCAATGAATTGAGATGCAATTTCAGTTCCAGCATTTAAAAACATTTTTAAACTTTGTATTGAAATGGCAGTAAAGTACCCAAATCTTAAGTATATGTATACTCAAATCTTTATAAAATGAATACAACCACATCCAGCTTTTGTTTTCAATTGATTACTTTTTTGTTAATCATAAAAAAACCAGTAATAGTTTTCCCTTAAAGGTGTAGCTATGAAATTTGAAAAATGCTTATTGTGCTAATACATATTGATTTCCTTTTTAATCACATTTTAATTCCCTTATTAATGCATATGATCTAGCCATGATTATGACTGATATAGATGTTACATTTTACTATGCATATATGCATGTTCAGGGAGCTGCATGTACACATTTGTGTTGGGATGGGGATAGGACTGATTTGATTTGGCCTATAGGATCACTAAATCTATAAAATATTTATGCTGAAAAAGAGCCAAAACAGTAGGTCTTTGTTCTTTGTCCTTGACATAGTATCTGAAAAACAAATTCCCTTCAGAATTTATATATTGAATATACAGATTCTAGTTTTGAATGTGAAAAGTTACAGCTGGAAGGCACTTCAGAGACCTCATTTCACATGTGGGGAAACGAAGCCCACGTATGTGAGTGAGTGGCCTGAGGTCACACACTAATTAGAGGCTCACAGAGGACTTTCCCATTCCCCACTCAGTTTACTCTTTACAACTCAGGCAACTCAAATGTCCTATTATGACAGTTCTCTCCACAACAAATAGTGAGGACCGGCACTCTTGCTGGCCAACACAGAAAAAGAAATCATGTCCTCTAGCAAGAAATGTCCCCTCTTCCAGCAAATCAACACTCACACCATTTAAAGGCACCCACCTGGACTGCCCTTTAGATAGGTAATTGTTGTGGGGAACATACTGGAAGAAATACTGCAAAAACAAGATAAAGAACTGTTGTTTTGTCTATATTTTTAAAATAGCCTGAAAGTTACTTTGGTATGACATACAAGATGACAATTTTGAATTCAAGTTGAAACAAAATTGGTTTTCCATCTTGGTTATCAATGAGATTAGAAAACTGATTATAGGCATTAGTTGTGCACTGGGCATGCTAAAGTAATATGTGATCAAAGGTTATTTGTTTCCAACCTAAGTTTTGGTACTCCAAGGCTTGGGCCCTACAAGGTTATATATTTAGGATCTTCTGCCCTACTCCATATTACATTCTACCCATCCAGTTGTGATGTTTACATAGATACACACACACATAAAGTTCCTAAAAGGAACAAGAAAGTAATGGATTCTTTTAGATCAATTGTCACATGAACAAGCGCATACCCAACCGGGGAGGATTTAAAGTTAAGAAATATATAGGAGCTGAAGTAGATGTCTCTTGAAGCATCTAATCAAATCTGAGTTATTACTACCAGGACAAAAGTGCCACCTGTTACCATATTTCTGAGCAATTTTCTCATCTAAATGCTTCAAGCCAGAGACATTTGCTACAATAATGTTACAATGTTGCTCTTTTATTCTTCTCTAAATTGTTCTCTTGCATTTGTGCCTTTACTTTGAGATGCTTAAGATTGTGTATGGAAATAGGCAAGATGTAGACAAGAGAAGATGGATTTCTTTATAAACTACCAAGGTAAAGGAAATAATTCCTTCTGTTACTGGGTGGCTAATAGGGTACCTGAGTTAGGCAGTGGGAGGATTCTCTCCCAGTGATTTAATCTGGTTGGAGATAGTGATCAGAAATGTTTTATGGAAGTTCTTAATTTCAATTGGGCACGTTGGACATTATTGCCTCAAAGAGATTATGGTGATACATGGTAAAAGTGGTCTATTAAATCTAAGTTAACTTTTGGTAAAATAAACTTGCCAAGGTCAACATTGTTTATATAGGATGATGGATTCTGAATTTTTAAAACCTCAATTACATGGAAGCTTTTGGGAATAGTGATCACCTAGGCTTATTTTGGTCTGTTAGTTTTCATTTTATAATACTCATTCTCTGTGATGATTGAGGTCAGTTGACTGTTCTCAAATAAGATTTTAATTAAATTGATAAATCCTCAGGAAAATCTATGAAATGTTTATAAAGTTGCCCTAGGCTTTTTCTCTGTCAAAAGTCTGGCAATTAATGGTAATTTTAGAATAACTCTCAAAATTTTACTTGTGTTGCTCAAGGACCACATGAGCAAATTCATGGTTTCAGACATGATGAATAGTTAATATTGTACTTGCTCTACCTTAAATAACTATAAAACCTGCAGGAAACACATAAAATAACTATTTGCTGTCATGAGACTAGAGTGAAGACAAAGCTATAATCCTGGGGAAAGAGGGGTACACCAGGTGAGCCTCACATTCACTAAAGTTTTTTTTTTTTTTTTCCTGGAAACAATTTCTGGGATGTGGTCCAGAGAAATGGAGTCCTAACAGGGATTAGTATATAAATACCAAGAACATTTTTGTAATTTTTAAACATGTTATATAAAAAGACATGCTCTTCACTAAAAAAACAAAGTTCTACTTGGAATTTAAGACCTGGCAATTCACAAGAAACCAAAACATTTGCTTTTGCTATATTGGTATTATTATCTTACCAAGCATTTTATAACTAAATCTTTTCTTCTTCCACTTTTTATCTTTGGACTTCAGGAATTTTAGAGCTGTCAGCCAGAAACATTGTAGTATATACCTTTCATTATCTAATAAAATCAAACTTTTTCTTAATTCCAATCTCTAAGAAGAATTTATTGCATTAACCTTTGAATCAAGGATTAACTTAAGGGACAATATCTGAGTGAAATAATAGACAAAGCGCGTCCAAAGATAACTGAATGAATTGACCAGCTGGATTGGATGCCGAGCATGTCTATGAAAAGGAAGGTTTTAGGTTGATATAAATGAAGTGGCATTATTTTTCCTGTGACTTATTGGCTCAAAGTTTCGGTTCTAACTTGAGACCACTTTTAGGTCGGGATAGTAAGGATCAATCAGCAGCTCAAGGATGCAGGTGTCACCTTTGGGTGACACACATCCCTACTCTGCTAGAGATTTTCAAAACCAAGGGGTAACCAGGATTCATCTTCATGAAACTTGAGGAAATCATTATTCAGTTTTACCTTC